TAATTTCTTTAGTTCAGTCAAGGGATGCCATCAGTTAATAGTGTAGTTATTTTTATATCTGTCGATGAATCGAGAAAGATATGGTCAGAAGAAGGCTGCTGTTTACAGCTTTTGTTATTTGGAACGAAATTTTTCCCCATGACGCTAGCCAAAGTAGCGGGCTTGATTTCATATTGTATGCACAACATTGCTTTTGGGCTGGCGATGAAGAGTTTTCCATTTGATTGGGATATAAAATCAGGTATAGGTACAATGTCTAGAGGTAATTGGCTAGTGATAACTTTAAATTTCAAATTAACTATTTTCAATGAATAAGTTTCCCCTTCTCGAACAACAACGGCTAGTGTATCTTCCTCAGGTAAACAAAGTGCACTTATTGTGATGGAATCACGTAGAGATAGCTGTGAGATTGAAAAAGCAAGAATAAGATTATTAAGAACTATAGTTTGTTGGCATGGTTAATGTTGATAAACTTACCAGAAGTTGGTCGCCATCAATATCAAGAAGATGGATGTTTCCATTTTCGGTTAAACCAATAGGTTTCCCACTTTTTGTCATTGTTAAACATTTGTAATTTTGTTTTACTGTGTACTTGGCATCAAAATTTCCCAGTCCATTAATAAAATCTGCTTTGATCATATAAAGTTTATTGAAACAATTTTGAGTTTTAGTTAATAGAGCAACCCACGATGATTCTGGATTAAATTGATTAATGGTAGTTTTTATTATTTCCTCGCTTTCTGGAATGATACCATCTCCGGGAAATTTTCCCTTTTCGGCAATTACTGAACCCAACGGTCGAACAAACCCATTTTTAAATAGTACTAAAGACTCTTTGATAGGACTGGCGAGTAAGCAATGAATTGATTTACCAAGCCTAACTTGAACAAGATCATCCTCAGAGTCGCATTTATATAAAGCTACTTTCAATTGTTTAACAGCAACAAATTTTTCGTTTACATGGTCATAAATTAGAGGTGCAACTAGCGAGTCTAGTTCACTGAAAGTCCAACACTTAATTGGTAAGCATGTATTCAAATCATAGAGTACAGCAAGATGTTTACTTTCACTGAAAATAATTTTATCCTGTCCATACGGTGTAAGAGAAGGAAATATACATGTGAATGGCTCAATACAAGTCCGAATAGTAGCAATATCCCCGAAAATTGCCATGGAGGAAGTAACAATAAATAATGTTGAACACAATTAACAAAAAATAGTTCCACAATTAATAATAATAAATTTGAATAATTTTTACTTAAACTGAATTTTGAACAAACTCATTGAACATGAAACTTCTTCTAAACTGAATCAAAAACGTGATACGAGCTAACATGTGATTACTGGTGGTTACTATGGAAATCATATCGATATATTGAATCGTTGTTAACGGAAGAAAATTTGTTTTCATACAAACAAATTTCTCGCTAATTTTTAATTAAAGTTTAATTAATTTTATTGCATCGCCAAATATGAATGATTTTTAAAATATTTCCTTGCCGGTTGTGTTATTTTTTTGAATTTTTCTAAGTTAGTTTTGACCCACAAGTCAGTATTGTTCAAGGTAAGTCAACTGATTTGAATCTATCGCACCTGACTTTTATAGCAACAGATTGATTATGAAAAATGAAACGTTTTATCTTAATTTCTAGAATTAGATAATCTTATTCAAATTTAAATCACTCATTGTTTATTGGAATGCTTTTCATTGGCAGTATTTCAATATGTTTTAATTGCTTAACTGATCGATTGGAATGTTATTCTGATTTGGGCTTTAATTTTTCTATTACCATTCCTTGGGTGGGAATTTTCTAATCCTCTTGACATTGCTGACTAATTATCGCAATTTTTATCTATTATTGTTGTACAAGCTTTCTAGACTCACCCTGAGTGTTACTTTAAGATTGCACACCTCGAAAATTCTCTATAATTAGCACGATAATTTACTTTTAGCTTCATTTAATTCTCATTCTACTTTTAAGTAACTCAGCAGATTCAACAAATCAAATCAATATGGCAACCAAATGGGGAATCCTCAGTGCTGGTAAAATCTCTCATGATTTCACTGTTTGTCTTCGAAGTTTAGATCCTGCTGAACATCAGGTAAGTCTTATTATGCCATTGCTTAAATGTTCCATTTTTAATACTCTTTAAACTTTCTCTTTTATTTCAGGCTGTCGCTGTAGCTGCCCGGAATATCGGTGATGCCTTGAAATTTGCTGCCAATCATAAAATTCCTCGAGCTTATGGTTCTTATCAAGAGCTTGCAAATGATCCAAATGTTGAAGTTGTGTACATTGGGACTCTTGTGAGTTTTCATTATAGCACTACTAAAATGATGTTGGAAGCTGGTAAACATGTTTTAGTGGAAAAATCGTTTACTGCGACCAGCAAAGAAGCACGAGAGTTAATCAATCTGGCTCGATCGAAAAAATTGTTCTTAATGGAGGCAATTTGGTCACGTTTCAATCCAGTTTTTACTCTCCTAATGGATAAAATCAAAACTAAAGCTCTCGGTGATGTTGTTTCTGTCAATGCAACTTTCGGTTTAGATTTGACCAAAGTCGAGCGATTGATTAAGAAAGCTGCTGGAGGTGGAACTCTTCTTGATTTAGGAGTTTATACAATAAACGTAATCCAAGTAGCAGTTGGTAATAAAAAACCGGAGCAAATTTTGGCAACTGGACATCTTAATGAAGATGGTAAGTTTTAATTGTTAAAATTTGATTTGATTTTGTAACATTTTTTCATCAACATAAACTTTAATCCATTCAGGTGTTGATGAATCAGTCGCTGTCGCTTTTAAATATTCTGATGGTCAAGTTGCAATGATGTCGAATACCCTACGAGGACAAATGCCTAACGAAGAGTGTGGACCATGCTACC